GGGAGTCTGCTTCTCCCTCTCCCACTCCCCATTTGTGTTCCCTCTCTCGCTGTGTCTTTCTCTGTCAAATAAAAAAAATACAATGTATGTGTTGATGGCAGCTGGGGTGTGGGGCTTGCTCAGAAATCTTCCCATTGCATTTCGTCTGTAGCCACGAATGGATACTGTAATCCTTACGGAAAAATGAGTGTTCACGTTAACTCCCTGGCAGCCATTTGGGGCCTGGTCCTTTAGTGCCTCAGGGTTTATGGGAAGCATAACGTGAAAGAAACCCAAAAGTAATTCTGAACCCTGGGCAAATCCCCCAACTCCAAACTTGGCATGTCATGCCTTTTGAAATGATTATTTTGGTAATGACATCTTTTGGCTAGAACATCCAGATACTGGGATTCCTGTCACTGTTTGTGGGCCTTGTTAAGATGGCACTTGTGTCTGGCCTCACCTGCCACCTGCTGTGATGGAGCAGCAGTCCTGATGACAGCTTCCTTCCCTGGCCTCCCAGCTGTGGACAGTTGCTGATGTGTGAGGCCCAACAGAGACAGGGTGGGCTCCCAAGATCCTTCCGAACTGCAACTCTCGCAATGCAAGGAGCTGGGATGTCTTTGCTCTTTGTCTACGCCTGCCATGGAGAAGGCAAAAAGAGTCTTGGCAAAAAAACCAGACACCAAAACAAGACAAAACCCGGGGCCAAATGGCCTGTTCCAAGAGTTTTTGCTTAGATGGTTTGACAGTGGTGTTTAGGGGAGAGGGCAAGGTCATCCTTGATACCGAGAGAAACCATCTGAGGCCTCTCCATTGGTCAACAAATAATGGCACCTAAAAGGATGATGTCCGTTCACTGCCATCGTCCCTGTCTTTTGTCCTCAACAGCTTCCTCCTATGCTAGTCTGTCCTTATTTATGTCTTCTAGAGTGGCCAAAATGTCATTTTAGCTGGGTTTTAGTTTTAGTACTGTTAGCTCTTTATAGAAGCTTGCCTGGCTTTTAATTCTTTCCTTCTTTATTGCCAGACAAAAGGAGAGGGAATATACCACTAGGATACAGAATGGTTTGTAGTAAAAATGAAAGATCGACACAGAAAGAGCATGTGGATCCCCAGATCTTGTCTTCAGTGCTGTCAGTTGGCATCGGTGAGCAGTTTTAAAAGAGCCAAAATGATAGATTTTACATCCTAGGAGCGAGGAAGAACCTTGAGAATTTCCAACCTTTAAACACAAGAGAATCTATAGTATTTTGAAAGAGGAGAACATTCTCTAGCTTCCCTGGGTAATTCACCCTAATGCTTTAACAACTTTCTGCATCACGAAATTCTGTATGAGTTACAGCCTAAATTCTTCATGCTGCTTAAGCCTGTTCCTTCTTGTTCTGTCCTCAGTGGAGGGATCGAACAGCTGGTCACAGGCCCCAATGCGAGAGCCCTTCACATAATTGAAAACTGTTATTAAATTGCCCCTTCAGCCACTCTTTCTTCCTCGTTCTCTTTTTTTGTTCATGGCTAAATAATCCCAATTCCCTTAAACTGTTCTCATAGGTCTTTCAAACCCTTTAATTATCCTTATGCCTTTCTGCCAAGCCTTCTCTGAATTCTGGGTCAGCTGTAGTCCCCAGAACTCGACCACGTTTTCTAAGGCGGGTTTGAACAGTGCTGAGGGTCATGAGACCATTTCCTCACACTCTCCCCGCTTGCCTTCAGTTACACATCATAGTCATGGCGTTGCTTTTTTTCTTTTTTATGTTTCTCCACCTACATTTGTTGCTGACTCATGGTCGGATTTTTACTTTCCATCTTCTGGAATGATTAGAAGCTTTCTATTCTTACCACACTTCCTGTATTAAGCCTGAATTTTTACAGTGTATCTATTAATTCATCATTAAATAAACTCTCGTTTCAGCCTCAGTCAGAAAAATTTATATATAGGTTCAGATGAAGCGACAGTAAATCCATGTTTCAAATAGGAATGACTTAGTAATGTTTTTCAGTTTACTGTCTTTCTGTGCTGGCTTGTCTCCTCGCTAGAAAGGGTTATTTTGATAAAGTTGGTTTCTAGACCAATGGAGCAGGAGATTGTCATAGGACATATTGTAGCTGAAACTTGTAGTTCCTTTGACACAATCTATCATTGTGTCTTTGTGTACAAGATAGAGAAACATGTGCAGGAGCCTACACGGTGACAGAACCGGCAAGAGGCCTAGTTTGACCAGAGAAGGCTGAAGGCTGGCTTTCTGTGGAGCTGAGCTGCAAGGTGTCACGGTGTGGCTCCTGTTTGACCTCGGCCTGCTTGATACTTTCACCAGGGACTTTTTGATGAGGACAAAACACATGTTTTCAAATGTAAAAATTGTTTAAAAATAAGTAAGTTTTAAAAATGTAAAAATTACACCAAGTGGGGAATAATGGCTTGTCTGTTGGCCGTGAGAGTCAGGATTTTGCAGGAGTTTGCTGCACTTGTGCATTGGGCTCAGACTAACAGGAAATCCTTGACGAAGGTGAAAGAAACCAATCCCAGATGAACAAGCAGAGAGTAGAGGAATCACCGGAAACCGCCAAGAACAGCATTTCCCATTACACCCACCACAGCATTAGTACTTTGTGCTGTTCATAAGCCTGAAAAGTTAAAAAAAAAAAAAAAAAAAAGAAGATAAAGGTCTTGGGATCACTGAATAATTAGTGTGGGAAATTCTGAGGTCAAACAAAGTTTAACGTGTTTCTTTACCAGCAACCTTCTCAGCTTTTAATATGTTAACATGCATTAAGCATTTTAAGAGGCAGATACAGTGTGCAGTGTTTCCGTAATTAATTTGATCATCTTTTCATGAAGCACTTTGTTGGATGACTGATCTGCTGGATGCACTGGGAAGCACTGACCCAGAGATTTTACTTGAGTGGAAACCCTGTGTGAGCTTAGAATACAAAACAAAAGAAAGTCATCCAATCCTACTGTCCAGACAAGTGGAGGTACCATTCATTCCCAACAGATCATATTTGGAGAGTAGTCTTCTAAAGGACAGTGGCAAACCAGGGCATGTCCTATGAGAAATAAAAGGAATGGGGGGGAGCAGTGCCCCTGGGTGGCTCAGTCAGTTGAGCGTCTGACTCTTGGTTTCGGCTCAGGTCATGATCTCAGGGTTGTGAGATCAAGCCCCTGGTTGGGCTCTGCGCTCAGCGTGGGGTCTGCGCTTTCTCTCTCTCTCTCTCTCTCCACCCCCCCTTGCCCCTCCCCCTCTTTCTGTCTCAAATAAATAAACACAATCTTTAAAAATAAAATAAAAGGAACAGGAATGAAGAGGCATGGGACAGACATGACCACTCAGGTAAAATATTGAAAAGGCTCCACAAAGCCTGAGACGCTCTGGGTTTCTGGTGGGACAGACAACAACAGTGAGGGTAACAGTGGCTCACACGAGTGTGGCTCTTGCTATGTGCCAGACACCATTCCACGCACCTTTCATTTAACTCCTTTGAATCTTAAAACAACCCTATGAGGCAGGTGCTATTCATAGTTCCATCTCAAGGCAGAGGAAAAGTAAGACCCAGAAAGGTAAATTTACTTCTCCAAGGTCACACAGCCAGTAAATGGCAGAGCTGGGCTTTCAACTTTTGGTGGTTGGAGTCTGCAGCCTCCGCTCTGCTCTTGGATTTCAACTATGTGTGATGAAGCACTTTCGACAGGGGTACTTCGGCTCAGGCGTTCAAGGTCATCCATTAAGGATGTTGGCTCCCTGGTACGGCTGACACTTAAATGGTGGCTGTCAGAAAACAGTGGCATCACATAAGAGTTGGTGCCATTCCAAAAGGATGAGTTCACTTGCATGGTCCCTTTCATCTTTAGGTTCCATGGTTTTTTTTTCCCCAGTTTTCCACAGAGTGCCTCTGTGATGGCACTCTGCACAGAGGAAAGTGCTCCTCCACAAAAGCTTTTGATCAGTACCTCGAATTGATAGCGTTCTGCAGCTAGGAAATTCAAGGTCAAATACCTCATTATAATGTTGTTAAATTTATAGTCAGGGGTAACGGCTGGACTAGTGCTGAAGTGGAGAGCTTTGCAAGCCAAATGACTTCTCGGTCCAAGCCCTATTGCCTTTCTGCAGTGTAGGAATAGATTTGTCATTAGCGAACCACATTCCAAGAGAAGCAACATGGGTTTGCAGTGTAGATACTCATTACTTGTTTGATACTAAATAACCCCTCCCTATGTTCAGTTTCAATCGGTCTTGGAATTGGCAGTGTTCTCTGGTTCTTGGCAAAAGCAAATGAACATCCTCTCTGTAGAAAGCACTTGCATTCTAGGGCTCAAAGTATCTCCAGAAGATTTTTTTTAAGGTCAATGTAGTACATAATAAAAAAAAATTAAGCACCCAAGAACCCAAGGTGAGTGAGAACCAGCAGAAACAGCAGACTGCAGGAGCAGACCCATAGTAATTTCATACTTTGGAATCAATAGATGGTGTTTTGAAAACCATGTTTACTCTGTTAAAAAAAAAATAACAGCTAAGATTGAAAAATATCTGCAGGGAGCCACAGACTTTGTAGAACTGACCTTAAAAATGACCAAATAGAACTTGTAGATGTTAAAAAGTACAATAACCAAAATTTAAAACTTACTGTTTGGGCTTAACAGCAGACTGGATGCTACCAAAGAGAGAAATAGATCGAAGGGATTGTTAGAAATGAAGCACAAGGAGGGCCTATGCAGACCAACATGGGCCAGGTTGAGAGAGTCTAACATTTATCTAATAGATTTCTGTAAGCAGAACAGAGGGGAAATGGAGACGAGGCATTATTTGTTGAGATCATGACTGAGAAGATTCCAGAGCTGACCAGAGACGCTAAAGATTCAAGAAGCTCAGTGAATACTAAAAAAGTATAAATAAACCCTAGAAACACAAGATAGGAAAAAAGGACAGATTACCTTCAAAGGGAGCAATAGTCCGCTTTACCAAGGACAATTCCTAACAGTAACAACAGAGAAAGTAAAATAAAAGTGAAATAATAATTCAGTGTGCTAAAACAAAATAGAGACAAAACCAAAAAAAAAGAAAAAAAAGAAACCCTTTCAGTCTAAAAATCTATACCCAATGTGGATAGCTGTCAAGAATATGGATTTAAAAAGGAGATTTTTCAGACTAAACAAAACCTGAGAAATTCTCCTCCAACATGACACTTACAAGAACATTCTAAAGGATATACTTAGGCAGAAAGGATCCCAGATGGAAAATGTGAGACGAAAGAAGCAATGAAAAAGAAAAAAAAAGTGGCCAATATATTGGTCAATCTAACAACACAAAAAAATTAAGACGCCATCTTGTAGGGTTAACGAGTAAACAGCAGTAGAGCAGGAGGTTTGGGTTCTAGGAGCATCTCAGCTCCTAGTCTGTTGTATGGCCTTTGAAATGCTACCTCCCTCACGTGTGTCTCAGTTTTCTCGTCTGTAAAATGAAGCTCCAGGAGCCAGTGTTTTTTAAAGCCTCTTCATTATGATTCCATGAAACACTGAGAAATAGATCGTCTAGGAAAAAACAAGGAATCAATAATTCCTGAGTTGGTTTTTCCTTAACCTCCTTTGAAATGTTATCGATAAACACTCGGCATTTTACTTCTGGCTCACTCTTACGTATCTGTTCCGAAACTGGAGCTAAAGGGAGTGTCGAGGCGCAGGTGTGTATTTTGCTCGCCTTTCTCCACATGTTGGTTTTGCTTCGCTTTCTCGTCATCTAGCAGCTGAACAGAGTAATGGCAGGTTACCCAAGCCTTAGGGGGTAGGTGGCTCGTGTGGCTGCGAGGGGGGCATTGGCAGAAACAGGCTGTGAAAAGTGGGTCTCATCGCACCATCGCTGTTCTGAATTTCTTAATGTCTGGTCTGTACTGACATGTGCCTCCTTTCCTTTCTCCCCTTCTTTCTCTTCTTGCCCCGTGCCCCCCCCCCTTTGCTTTTCCTCCTGTCCTGCACAGGCTAATAATAAGCCTGAGATCGAAGCAGCCCTATTCCTAGACTGGATGCGACTGGAGCCCCAGTCCATGGTGTGGCTGCCCGTCCTGCACCGGGTGGCTGCCGCGGAGACTGCCAAGCACCAAGCCAAGTGCAACATCTGCAAGGAGTGTCCCATCATCGGATTCAGGTATCGGGAACCCCCCAAATGGCATTGGTTTTTTTTTCTTCGTGTCTCTCACCTTTTTCGGACTTGATCTTTTATCTCCTGTGCCAGTTGCTGTCAGTTTGTTCCTTTCCCAAGTGACTGCCCTGGTCCCTGGGCTAGTTTGGTGGCTCTGACTCATTAGGCAGGTGGCCCTTTGCACCTTCATTGTGGAGCTCTGCAGGACCGACTGACCACCTGCCTCCTCAGAGATACCTCTGCGGCAGGGGAATGCTGATTCACGGCGCCGCCTCCTTCCCGGGGCCAGTGTTAACCATCTCTTTGGGTTGTTGTTTTTTTTTTTCTGTTGCTAGAAATTCTCTAGGAATCAGTTCTAAGACTAAGAGATGGTTTTGTTTGGGGAGACCTGTCATGGTAGCTCAGTTTCTTATTCACTTTGTCCCACTTTTCCTCCCTGAACTCACAAGAATTGTTTCAAGCAACCCAGAACGTACTTCTTGATTGGTGAATCTGATTACACTCTTGGCCTAGTATCCTAATGAACTTCTAAGGGAATATAAAGTATGCAAGTAAATGAAAATTTCACAAAGCAGCTAAAAAAGGGGAAAGGTTCTTTGTAAATTTAAAAGGGAAAGAGATAGGAAGCATAGCAGGTTATTGTTCTGATATTCTTAAAAATGTCACGGAAAACAGTTGGCTCTTAAATCTTCAACCTCGGTGACCTGTTTTGGGAGAGAGGGGATATTGTTAAATGAATTAATCTTACTGAACAAGAATCCCAAATCCAGATTTTGAAATGATGCTGTATTTCAACATCTGGATCAACAACTGGGTTTCCCTAGCAATGACTCAGCCGTCCAGTTGTCAACTAGCTATATGGTCTGTGCCTGTTCAGAATCCACTTAACAGCTAAGTAAATACTCTTTCTCTAGTTCTGCTCAGACTTGTTTTATTTCTTTGCTTCCTAATAACTACTTCGTACCATTCGTGTGCTTTGTATTCACTCCTCTTTTACCCCTGGTGTTTGTCCTTCTGTACCTCATGTTGTGACCAAGAGGTTTTTGCAAAAACCCTTAGAGGTTTCTAAAGCCTAGCTAGACAACCCTGAGTAGACAGTACTCACAAAGGACACAGTTTTCCTTCCTTCCTGGTTTCTGGCCCGTACAAACAATGCCAGGAGAGATGGGGAGGGGAAACCGCAGGGGACTGCGTTCCAACACTTACCTTTCTGCTCTCAGCTTCCCTGGCTAGCTAGTGAGATTTATGTGCAGGGGGAGGTTTCACAAAATAGGAAAGGGGGGTGCTTTGGAGGATCTGAGAGTGCTGTTGCCTTTAATTCTTTTGCCCTTATCGAATTAGATTATTTCGGGAAGCGGCGCTTCTCTTTCTTCCTCCCCCTCTCAAAAGATGGTTGGGATCTAAAAAAGGTAGCTTTTTCCCCACATCCCCATATGTGGCAGAAGGAATATGTTTATTTGAATTGGCTAGCATTCTTATCTGAGAAAGCAAAAGGCAGGGAGAATAGGAAATAATAGCGTCTGCTGAGAATGGGGGCGGACGTACCACCTCGTACTTACAGATTACAGCTGCTTTTAGCCAGCCCCAGTTTGTCTTTTCTTGGGGCTTCACTTATCATTTGTGGGTAACGTGGTGGTGCAGGGTGAGGGGGTGGGGGCGGTTCTGAAGAGAGAGACATAAAAGAGATCATCCAAGTAACTACCTGGAGGTGAATCATGCCAGTCAATCAGAAAATGTGATTAAAGCAAGATGCATTTTCAGTGAGAGTCCTTGTTTCATTTGCCTTTATTTTGTGAAATTGCTTCCTCATGATAAATTGTTTTGAAAATAATTGCTTCAGAAAAATGTTTGTCCCCAGAATGGGTAGGGGGCCTGCAGTGCATCCATCTCTCTCTCCTGGAAGTTCTTTCAAAATCTTGCATTTGGTCTTCAAAAGACTGGAAGGTTGCCAGTATCTTCCTACTTAATCTGAAAGGGTTCCTCGTGGAGTTTAAATGAGAGCTGAAGTTTTCTTCCCTCCTTCCATATGTTTATAGGATAGTCTTCCTGCCAGAATGTTTTGATACTGAAGGAGAAGCACCAGAGATATGTAGATGGAGGAAGTTAATCACTTACCTGTGGGATTAATGAACATTGCATTCTGTTTCATGAATTAAGACCATGTGGAAGAAGGTTTACTAAAGAACGTTCTTTGGGAATTGGATTTGAAGAAATACATATGTGTTTGTTTTTGTTTTTCACCAGGTACAGGAGTCTAAAGCACTTTAACTATGACATCTGCCAAAGTTGCTTTTTTTCTGGTCGGGTTGCAAAAGGCCATAAAATGCACTACCCCATGGTGGAATACTGCACTCCGGTAAGTCAGATGCCTCCCTGGCGTGAGAGTTTGCTCGCCTGGAAGGAGTTTCCCTTCTGCACAGTATTGCAAATGATGTGTGATGCTGGGGTTTATGAGTTCCCCGGATGTTCCCCAGCTAAAGTGGCTCCTCATTGTAGGCTCCAGATTTACTTGATCCTAGTGCGTGGGGTGGTGCCGAGAAGACGTTTTCACGTTGATTTTGCACAGCCCTAGCAGTTGTGTGGAGACGTTTCATGGCCTTGGGGCGGTGCTGGGTGTTGGGGTAGGGGGTGATGTGGGGTTCCTCTGAATCTCTTACCATTGCTTTCAGTCAGTCTTGCTTAACTCATGCTAGGCATTTGCCTTTTTATTTATTATTTTTTTACTATTTGTGTATGTATATATACATATATATGTACATACGTGTGCCTTTGCCTTTTAAACTACTCTGTGAAGTAGGTATTATTATTATCATCCCCTTCCTACAGATGAGGACTCTGCGGTCTTAAGGTTAAATAATTTGCCCAAGGCTCTATAATTAGGAGGTGGAGCTTTCTCCCAAGATGTTGTTTTGGGGAAGCGTTCATTGGCTCATAGAACTTTGAAAGAATCGCTGGTGACGTGGAAAGGACATAGACTTGGTGGTCAGACACACATGGGTGTAAATGTGATGTTCTTTAAACACTACCTGCTTGCTATTCAGTGCCCGCTCCGTGGCACTGACATTACCTGGGAGCTTACTAGAAATGCAAAAGCTCAGGCCCTGCCCCTGGCTTCATAAATCCGCCCTGCATTTTCGCAAGATCTGCAGGTGGATGCCATGCACAGCAAAGTTTGAGAAGCTCTGCTCTCGAACTTTTATGCTCTTCTTTCTCTCTTCCGTCATCAGAGCGATGACCCAGGTCTTTCGCTGTCTCTCTCACTTGGATTCCTCTTACAAAGGCATTCAGTGATGGAGAATGAGCCACGCAGTGAATAGAATGATACTCAGTGGGTGAAACGTGACATCACTGTGGACAGAATCGTTTTTAAAATACTGCAAAGTGTGGCCAAACTTAAGGTCAACTTAAGAGTTCTACAAACTCCCATTGATCGAGTAGCCCTCGTAGTTGCTACACTTGTTTTTCGCCATAACAACTTGTTGAGATATTACTGCAGCCATTTTACAGGCGGTCGGAGCCTTGGAGAGTTACTAGTTACTGCTATGCCCGGCCCTGTTTTTGTCTATAGACTTGGCTCTTGACCCCCACTGTCTCTTCAGTTACGGAACAAGTGCGCTGAAGCAGAGCACTGGAGTGAGTACTCTTTTACCTTGAGATCGTACTTTTGTAGGTCTGAGCTCAGTGCACTTTCCCTTTCAGACTACATCGGGAGAAGATGTTCGTGACTTTGCCAAGGTACTAAAAAACAAATTTCGAACCAAAAGGTATTTTGCGAAGCATCCCCGAATGGGCTACCTGCCAGTGCAGACGGTCTTAGAGGGGGACAACATGGAAACGTGAGTAGTGGCGAGCGCAAAGCAGTCTCTCATTTGACATATATTTGAGCTCCTCTCAGCTGAATGCCCTCCTTCACTCCCAAATGCAAACAGTCTCTCCTATTTCTTTCTTTAGATTTACTTTAGCCGAAAAGAGAAAAACAAGCTGATGGTCAATTGCCATTTTCCCACGTTAGTTGTCCCGTGACACTTACCTGTTCCAAAGTGAAACCTGATCTCACAGGGAAAGAAACTACACGACAGCTACTAATTCCCTTATAAGAAATATGGGACTGTTTACAAATGAGTGATTCCAGTCTTTCATTTCGGTCTTCCTCCCTCACAAATCACTAGGCGTCTGTCTTTTTGTATCTGATTGTGTGGTCATACCTAGTTGCTTTTATCTCCTTGAAAGAAAAGACACTCACAGGAAGTTTCGTCACAGTAAGTAGCAATGATTCTCATGATCAAAATGATGATACCTCTACCTCTCTGCAACCTTCTCGTGTTTCCCATAACGGATGGCAATCGCACACTTGTTTTTCTTTCACCTCACTCTCCACCTTTGTTTGGCCGTTGCTTTCATGGTTCATACTTAATTGGTTGGATTTTATTTATTTTGACCTCTCAGTATTTTTTTAATTAATTCATTTTATTTATTTATTTATTTATTTATTTATTTATTTATTTATTTATTTATTTAGTGGCTGAGTTTGCCTGTGTCTCTCTTCACCACCTCATTTTTTGTTTTGCAGTCCTGTTACTCTGATCAACTTCTGGCCGGTAGATTCTGCGTGAGTACTTCTGCTGAAGGGGGCTGCTACCACCAACACATTTGCTTGCTTGATTTGACAATTTTTTTTTTTGTTCTGTTGGTTTGGTTTGGTTTTTAAGGACACATTAATTTCCCTTCCTTCATTTCATTTTTTTCCTTCCCGCGGTAAGACGTTTAGAGTGCCATCCACCACAGAGCGGGAGAATCAGAGTGAGGTTTCCAGGTCCCTACCTGGTCAGGTTTTAACCAGCAGACATCCTGGCCTGGAGTCAGTCATCAAAGAAACAAATGGGTTGTTAGTTCTGCTCCTGAGAGACATGTTTACGTATTCTTCCATGATAAGCTCCTCTGATTGCGTAATAACATTCTTGAGCCATATTTTTTGAGATTCAATACTTCAGGACTTTCAAAAGGATGATGGTTTGTTCTTTAGGGCCTGTTACAAGTGGACCATTAAAAATCAGCAGAATTTGTTTTATAGTAGGATGTGGAGTTTGATGGAATAATTTCAGTCAGGTGTGTGTACTTCTTATCATGCTACCGGACTAATCTTCATACACATATACACACGAGTTTCTCAGTTTTGAACTAAACTCACTTTGCTCTCCTCTCCAAACTAAATATTCAGCTCATAAATAGTTATACATTTACAACTGGAAGGAAAGTATACTATACACTATTGGTGTATATTAATAATGCTAATATTAGATACCAACAGATAATTGGTTTATCTTAGAGTTTATAATGTTATTAGAAAACTCTGGGGAGTCGGTGATTTATATATTAGCAAACAAAGCGTGCATTGTTTTAAAGTTACATTGTGTGGAGTTTTTATAACAAAGTTTTGTTATTTCAGAGCGTACTTAATTAAAATATTTAAAGTCAGACAGCTCTATTATAGAGAGAAGGAAATGACCAATTTAGAAGAACTCAATTTATTTTTATTGGGTCTCTTTTATTGCTCCACCATGTAATTTAATTTAAAGTATATCCTTTTTTAAAAATCCTGTAGTGATAAATGCAAGTTATTAATTGAGGTTTATTTTAAGTCTTTATTGGCCTAAAAGAATTGTAAGGCGTCCCTTTCTTTGTTAAAGCTGCATTATTGTGCCCCTTAATTTTGAGATATGGTACCTATACCTGATTTTTTTACTCATCAAGGGGAATTATTTAGATTCACTTCTGGTTTTTTGCTATTCATAGGTAATTGTTTTCCCAAAACCCCAGGTAGTTTATTTCTTTATAGAAGTTTGAACCTTTCCTAAATGAAAAACTTCAAAACAAACTGATGGACTGAAATCCTCACTAAGTGAATGGATTTATTCTGTGTCGGAATAAGTTTTAGCCAGTTGAAATATCCAAAAGGCAAATGTGCTACAGAATAACTTTAAAAATGCATGGATAGAGGTAACACAAAATGATAAGCAAAAAATAACAATTCCTTGAATGGAAAAAAAAAGTTTATTGAATACATCAACTAATGAGAAAAAACATGACAAGTGAGTTTAATGTCACTTATTTTAAGTAGAGGGTGTTTGTCTTCAACTTTGAAGAACTATCAAATTAATAACATCCTATATTAAAGTATCTTCCTCTAGAAACTAAAACATAGAATCACTTTGCCTTTTTATAAAAAGTCTGTTCAATTATTCAGAAATAGTGGGAAATTATCCTTTTGAGGAAGAAAACCAGACCCAGCAGGCTATGGTCCCTATTTCTTTAATACCAGCATTTTTATTAAAGTCTTTACTCAGGGGATTTTAAATAATTTATAAAATATATTGCAGAGCTCTCCTATTTAGACAGAAGAACCAGGTCCTGAGGTGGCTTCATTTTTGCAAGAATTCCCTCTGATGTTAACAGATTCTCATGTGGATCACAGAATTTGAACGTTGACTGAGATACAGATCTTTTGTTTTTCCTCAGCGGAAACCCTTATTTACCTGTATTTGTCATATTTTTTTTTTTTTTGTCATATTTTTCTTAATAACTAAATCTAGCCTAAACCTTTTATATTGTTTGCCCAGAAATGAGACAAACAGTATCCTTTGAGCTATTCTGCTTTGAAACCTAAACGGATGAAAACTTATTAATGGAGTTTTCACAAAAGAGAAACCGGTGGTGGGTGGGGATGGAATTGGCCATTAATAATAACAGGACTAATCCTTCTGGGTATATCGTTTAGTGTGTAGGAAGTAGGAAGGGAGAACAGTGTTCTTACCATCTCTCGGAAAAGTGTTTCAGAAGGCTTTGCATTTAGTTTTGTTTCTGGACTAAGTGGTTTTCTACTTATTCTTGGTTTTTTAAATGCTCCTTCTCTGAACAGTACTCCCTGTTGGCTCATTTTCTGGTCTAATAGGTACCTCCTTTAGGGTACTTCTTCTTCTTTTTTTTTTTTTTTAGGAGTTCCTGTGCTTATGCATGCTGTGTTAGGTGCTACTTAATAACAAAAATCACATGGAATTAGCCTCAAGGCTAAGAATTAAAGTGCTGCATAATATTTTCTGTATAAGATTTTACTAAAGTGTTTTGGATTTACATGCCTAGTTTTCTTGGTATAGTTATGCTCAAAGGTCTCAGGTTTTCTTTCTTCTGTACACTACCAAGGTAGCAACCATTAGAAAGGAAAACACTTAACCATTTTCTTCCTGGTAGGCTTTTAGCTTATCAGCAGTATGTAAATGAGAAAAAAAAAAGAAGTATGTAAATGAAAAACTGGTTTGTTCCTGAAGATAGGGCTTATAAACCAAATGATCCAAGTACTAAATTATTTTGACCTGCAGTGAATATTTTAAAACAAACCTTAGCATTTTTCTAATGCACTATTCCAGGGTTCTAAGAAATGATGTGACCTCTACCAAACTAGAGCGAAGATTCACACGGAAATCTTTGGATCTGCCTAGTAAATTGGGTGGCCATCCTTGTTTCCTCATGACAGCGTAAAGGTCTTTGTAGTTCATTACAAATTGGATTAGAGTGACACTTGACCTAGACAACACTGGTTTCATAAATGAGACATTTATCTCTCAAGGAAGACCTCAGTTCCCTAGTTGTTTCCTATACTGTGTTGTAATCATTTTAGGATTGCGTGTCTTCTTGAAGGAATAGGGATTTCGAGCTTATTTCCTAGGTAAGCCTAGATAACTACATGTTGTTTTTTTCCATATAAGTAAAAACAAATGTATTCTTCTTAGTGTTTTGACCACATCCATTAATGCTGTTTAGACGCTGGGCTAAACCAGTCCTCACTGAATAGGTTACTGGGGACTTTTGGATCCATGCCTTTATGTACGGGCTTTCTGTGTCAGGACAGAAATGGAAGAGAACTTTTGTCTTATTCCATTTACGACCGAAAAGCACAAGTCCAAACTGGTTTTCAGAACAGATGGATTTTTTTTTCCTAAGGTTAATCCAAAAGATACCATAAAAACTTCAAGGGTAATTAATAGATCAGATACAAAAGGGTAGGGAAAATATTAACCTTACCAAATTTCTTAGTCTCTGGAGCTTAAAAAAAAAAAAAAAGTAGGGTTTTACACCCCAAAAGCATATGGACTATTCATGCTAACGCTCCCCTCTAGTTTTCTTCTCTGTATGTTAGCACACAGTATCCCTACTAAGAAATACTGCAGATATTGTGACATTTTATTGGATTTAGTCGTTCTTTTTTTAAAACATCACAGTATCATTGTGGGTCATTCAGTTTTATTTTGTGGAGTAGTAATATGGTCCTGCTACTAAATTGTACTACATTGGTGGATATGTTACTTCCTTACAAAACAGCACAGACCAAGATATCCTGATGTGTGGGATCTTAACAGAGCCTGGCCTGGCCTCCTGGGAATTAAAATCGTTGACTGTAAACGTACTAAGCAAAAGTACAGTTTCCATTCAGTAAGAAGGCAGCTAATAAATGGCGTGGTGGGGGGAAACTACTTAAAATTTTTAACCACCTAGTGCCAACATAGTCTCAGAACTATAGGATGTGAGAAATGACAAGGTAGGAGGAAAAAATGTCACAAAGAGATCGTCCACCCTTCTATAATTGAAACATTCCAGAGAAGATTTTGATCTCTTTTGATGACTTTGGGAAAAAAAATGAGAAGTATGAGAAATTACCTCTCAACCTTGGATTTAAAATAGTTGATGATATATCTAAGATATAGGAACAACCAAATGTGTACATTATCCACAGCATTAGAAGAAAAGCATTTTAGGCCATATATATAACATGACTGTGTGGTGGGTTTTTTTTCTCCATTAATGGATGGTATCTGTGACTAATCACATTTTCTGCCTTATAGGCCCGCCTCGTCCCCTCAGCTTTCACACGATGATACTCATTCACGCATTGAACATTATGCTAGCAGGTATGAGACTAGTTGAATGCCAGGCAAATATTGATTGAAATAACTAACCAAGGAAAGCTAACCTATAATCATTTGAAACAAACCTTTTCTTTTTCCCCCCCAATCTTGTCTGATTTCTACTAATCCACTTGCCCTCTAACTTGCATGCCATTCCACTGCATGCTGTTTTTGAACACCAGTAAGAGCATTAGTCCAGAACAATCTCCCCTCATCCTGGCCTTTAAACATTTCTGATAGCTTTGCTATGTTTTGCATATGGAGCACGTTTAAAGAATTGGCTTAGAAATCATCTCACCTTCTTAGAAAACTGCTAGACCAACCATCCATGGGTGAAGAAATGATACTATGTTCTCTAGAGCATATGAAAGCATTAGCTTTCTATTTGCGTGGTTATATAGCATCAGATGCTGTAAAGAAAAGAATAATTAATTTTCCTAATCCGTGCAACTTTTTGTCCCACCTTCTTTGTGTTTCAGCGAATTTTTATGCCTAAAAACCGAATTGCTAATTGTAAGCTATCTTATGCTCGTTAAAGAAGTCTGTGAGAGTTTGGTTAACTTTTTTTATTTTTTAGTGGTAAGAAGATTTTATTATTGTCTGAGGGGAAGGAGGTTTTTGAAGGTAAAAATTGGCAGACTGTTCAGAGAGCTTACTATGAGTCCATCCTTTATCAGTAGTCTAACTGCTAAACGTGTTTGTCAACCGTGGGAAGCATTAACAAGCTATATAAGTCTGTCATCAGGGGAAAGCTTTAATTGTCTTTAAAAAACAAGGGGTAGTGAAGGTACAGTGTATTTGTTGGTAGGGAAGCTTTTCTTGTAAAAACAAAGGCCTGCTCTCGGTGAAAGCAAGATCAATTTGTGAAGAAGAAGAAAAAAACAACCAAGTACAACTTCCCTTCTAATTTATAGCATAAATGTAAAGCTCCTAACTAGCTGGGGTCCACCACTCACTGCGTCAAATGGTTAGGGCAACACACACATTCTTTAATTTGAAGGAATCCTTTCTCTTCTTGACATGATTTATCCTTTAGTTTTCAGGAATGTTCGATTAGGTCTTGAATAGATTCTAAGAAATCACATAAGTTTTAATGAGCTTTTACGTTTTTTATCAGGCTAGCAGAAATGGAAAACAGCAATGGATCTTATCTAAATGATAGCATCTCTCCTAATGAGAGCATGTAAGTATCCTGTCTCTTTTTACAAAATGTTCCTGACGATGAAATTGCTTTGAGGGCTTTAGAGGTAGGGTAGTGCAGAAGATAGGAATTAGCATTAGACTCACTTGATCTTTCAAGGAGCCATTCGTTGACTTTTTTTCCTTTGACTCTTAACCACCTGACACGGAATGAGCTCATCCAAAATGTGGCATTACTGGTATTCCAGAGTAGCAAAAACAGTGGGCCTTATTTAATACCGGATTATCACAAGTTGCAGAGGCTCAAATATGGAAATTATACGAAATGCTTAATCTTTGACCAAACCTGCCAGATATTTAAAGGGGTTGGATATTAATTTTTAAAAGTGATGGCTAAGTAGTATTTTCTCCACTCCGGGAGCGGACATGTAATCTTGGTATGGTTGCATTGGTGTTCCCATCTGGTAGGTTAGTTGGGCATTTTCCTTCAGAGATCCGAAGTAGTAGATTTTTGTGATTTAGCATCTTCGCTAGCTAAATCAGGTGAGGCAATCTGGTGAAGGGTTTCAGAAGAGGAAGTACAAATTTAGGTCGAAGTTGTCTAGTGGGCTGATAAGCCAGGCCTGTCAAATAGAAGGGAAGAGAGAGCGCCATGCCAGAAATGGTAACAGGGAAAGAGTGGCTTTCTTACTGAGTTGGGGAAGTGTTCATATTGAGGAACACAGAGGAACAGTGCCATGAACCAAGGGCCCGAGGTGGAGGGAGCCGATTAAGAAGCTAATATGTAGGAAAAGATAAGGATCTGCTAACTGAATAGATAATTTAGAGAGAGGGGGAAAAAATCTAGTCAAAGCACAGCAGTGTCTCTACTTCGATAAGTTACAGATGTCTCACCACTTTGTCATGGAGAATCTAGGCAAAGGGAAGAATGAGTGGTAAATTTATCATGTTGTTGGTGTGGCAGCCCAGCGTCACACTCCGATAAGGCAAGAGCCTTTGTAAGGATTAGGCTGAGGGAAATAGTATCCGAGTGGCATGTATACATAGCTGGTTATTGAAGACATGAGAACAAATCATCTGGTAGCTAAAGGTGATCACCTGCCAAGGTGAGTGTTGAATCAAGTCGACACTCAGTCGTTTGTATATGACTGAGTTACTTAAAGCGAAAACAACCTTTTCCCCAAACAAAAGTAACTGTGGTACATTCTCTCTCTCAGTTATGGGGATAAGTATTAGTAGGTGTAGTATATAAAATACTTTGACAGGAAAATATGTGGCCAAAGAATCAACCAAATGTAAACAACCTGAATGATTTGCTTCTTTGTGTCACCACTTTTGGTGATTAGAAGCTCTAGCACATTCAAATCATTTCAAGTTGTATCTGTATAATAATGGCTGCCGTTGACTGACTGCCTGAGAGAACAGTAAGAGAAATTTAATTATAGCTCTGTTGTAATTAAACACAGGAAGTTCTTGCAATAAAATTTCAGAATTTGGGAAGAGGGATAATAAATTAGGTAGTAAAACATCTTTTTACAATTGTTAAATGAAATTTAGCTTTAGCTCATTCTGAGGACATAAAATGCATTTTGACTCCGTATTAGATGGTAAAACTTTACCATGACCTTTTGGGGGCAGATCTGGGGAAGTTGTTTGGGGGATTGGTTGACTTCACTTAAATGTTGGTTTTTAACACCCAATAATTATTTTTAGACAACTTTTCACTTCTCAACCAATTACCTGGCTTGACAGACCAAAATCATTTAAGTCATTTTTTTCCTGAATACATGAATTGTTTTTCAACTCAGAAGACTTAGAGAGGGGAATATTAACATACCATCCTACTCATATCTAACAAGAAACAAAGAGCTTTAGCCTCTCATTAAGAAGAGAATGAAGTTCTTATAACTTAGATGTGCACAGGCTTCTAAGGAGCTAGGAGCAATACATTTAGAAAATAATTTCTCCTGTGTATTAGAGAGTTCCTAGTTTTAAGGAAACATTGCAGCTGCCTCCCCAAATGTAAGCCTTTTGCTTCTTTGTTCCTGAAGATTAGTCCTTAAAAGCTATTCTAAAGAATGAGATGCTCAGTCTTCTTTTAATTAGTCATCCCAGTGGCTTTTTTTTTTCCTTCTAGTTTTTGTTTTTCTCTCTGAACAATAATTGAATGAAACCATCATTTGTCTCCAGTTTCATTATTGTTACCATCTTGCCTCTATGGCTTTTGTAAGTTCAAACTGGCTTATTAGCAAAGCAACACTTTGTGGTCACATTGTCCTCCCCTGAAAAAAATATTAATTATTGTAAAGGCTGCAGGGTTGTTTTTCCTGGTCATTGTCAACGAGAGCGTGGGTTAGTGAACAGATTATCTTGACAGGCTTGGTAGTAAAAGCATTATAGAGCCATTGTTATGTCTTTTAATATCTGTTAACTATTGGTTGAACAGTCAACGTAAGAGTCCCAGTATTTCTGTAATTCTGCTACTCATTTGCCCATGTAAATAGGCCAATCAAATTCATTTGAAAATTTGAGCAAGAAATACTTTGAATTGTCACCAATAAGATCATAGATCATGAGCTCAAAAGTCTCAAAATGTCTTTAGAAATAGGAAAAGGGGTCTAATTAATGGTTAAGAGCAAATGTTTCTATTTTTAAATTCACACCTGAGTCCCTGACCCCCAAAGCAAAATAAGGGGGAGAAAAAACCAAAACCTTTGATTTTATTTTCCAGAGATGATGAACATTTGTTAATCCAGCATTACTGCCAAAGTTTGAACCAGGACTCCCCCCTGAGCCAGCCTCGTAGTCCTGCCCAGATCTTGATTTCCTTAGAGAGTGAGGAAAGAGGGGAGCTAGAGAGAATCCTAGCAGATCTTGAGGAAGAAAACAGGTGAGTTTTCTTTCTAGCTTTGTCATTGGTATGCAGAGTGCATACACGTGCGCACATAGAAAAGCACCAGGAATCTTCACTTAGTCATTCTGTGTCTAATTGTTTTCTACAATCTGTTTAGCTCCATTTACAGATTCTCTCTCTCTCCTTTTTTGTTACCTGCAAGAAGAAAATGAATGCGATAGTATAATTAAGAAGTCCTAATTTAGGGGTGAGAGGAATTAATGCTAATGATGGTGATTGATTTGTTGCATGTGTTTCAGAGGCTTTGATTATGTATTTGAGAATAGAATTTAAGAACAAAGCAAGTCCTTTAATTTCACGATTATATGATTTGTACATATATTTGGCCATATTGTCTATCTCAAAGCATTTAAGAAAGTAGGTTCGTTGGCTTGGTCGGATCTGGGAACGAATTCATTCATCTTATTTTCCATCCTCAAACACGGAAATCATTAATGCTCACCATCATAGCAGGTTAGTGAGACCATTCCAGTTGTCAGTCATCATCTGAAAAAGCTGTTCGCGGAGAAATAGAAACCCTAGAAGTGAAAAGCCTGAAGAAGATTCACAATGACAGCAGAGAGGACACAGATGTCAAAATCTGGGGGTACTCTGTGGTGTCAGGAAAATAGAAATCATTGGACATTGACTTTTGTGTTACATTTATTATATCACAGGTCTCTTGGTTAAGAAAGGCTTTTACGTATGATCACTTCTACCTCACTGTGCCTTCTTTAGACAAATGCCACCAGGCAAGTCTTTAAAGGAGCAGTTGCTCAAATTTGTGGGACTTAAGAACCTTTATCTCTTCGCTTTAGCCCAAGGCACCAAGACCTGTGAATCTAGACAGCGCAGTGTGTCTGAGAACTGGTGCCCTGGGGGGGAGTAGGTCACCTCAAGATGAAAAAGCGAACTGCCATTCATCCATTGCTTTCTACCGCCACTGTCCTCCATCTAGCTCTTAAAACCCCTGACCTGTGGCCATGCTCTTATCCAGTTGGCTTCTCTTTACTCTCTTTCTCACCCCTCCAATAAATCCTCCATACTGACCTGAATTGTGTATCTTTCCGGAACCAAGACCCTTCATGGCATTCTTCCTTCATTGCATTTCTGCATCTAGAAAAAAAAACAATCCAGCTTTTCAGCTGAGCACTTAAAACCTTCCAGAATTTTCTCTTGACTTCCTTTTACAACATTATCTTCCTTTGTGCCTGTGTTCCAGCCACGTTGCTGTAGCAGCTGTTTCTGAATACATCCTGCTCTCATCCACTTTCTGAGTCAAGCTCAAGCTTGCTTCTCAGCCTACCCACTAACCCCCATCCCTTCCATATCTGATGAGGGAGTCCTACCCATCCACCATGACCTTCCTCAAAATAATCTTCTCCATAGAGCGCTGTTAGATCCCGACATTTGGAAGTAATCGATCTTTTGCCTATATTCTCTGAGTCATGTGAACCTTTCTCAGAGAACTCCCTGACTGGTTTGCCTTTTTATTAGTTATTCCCATTGCCTCTCTCTAACAAGACAGTGAATGCCTTTGGGTCAAGGACTGTGTCTTCATCCTCGTAATGGTCCCCTAGAGTTCCTGGCACAGTGTGAATACTTAGGGGGTAATCAGGAAATGTTTGGTAAAAACCTCACTTTAAGAATACAGCAAGGTTGTCCCATGAGTACTGTCCAGGAGGCAATACGGAACATTATTTTTGGCCTTATTTGTAAGACTGGCACTGAAGATGATGGTAGATACAACATTTCCCCCTCCTTTATTGAGGATCCTCCTTAGTATCCATCTAGGTTAAATCTATAGTTATTTTAGGAGTCAGAGTCAAATAAGAAGGAAAAGTTGGGATTGGCATGATAAGTAGAATTTGATGTTACCCAGGAATAAAAATATTTTTGTACAATAGGATTGTTGCCATTATGCAATATATCTTTCCATGTCATTGGGTAAGAGTTTTGTCTTATGTGTTGTTGGCACACTTTGCTTCTGTACCATGACAACCAGACCAAAGGGTGTTGGTAAAGAGTACTGATAACTATCATTTCATCATTTCCAGAGCACTTTAATGTATTTTGGGTCATTTAATCTCCCTTAAAGCTCTGTCAAGAAGATGGACGGAGAAATGCTGGTTCACAGAGGTTCAAAGGGCTTGACCCAGATTTCACAATCAGCCAGTGGCAGAACCAACTTCCGGTCCAGATTTTCTGACTCAAAATAGCCAACCCTTGCACCAGAGAATAAAAAAGAGTCATTCTATGTAAACAGAATTTACATAGAATTGTGGCATATTCCCTGGAACGTACCTTGACTTGAGGCAATATTCTTTAAGTTGTTTTTTTTGTTTGTTTGTTTTTTTAAGTAATCTCTACACACACCGTGGGGCTCAAACCCATGACCCTGAGATCAAGAGTCGCATGCTCCTCTGACTAAGCCAGCCAGGAGCCCTGAAGCTGTACATGAATAAACCAGTTCATGTACTTGTGGTACAATGATAACCACTTTCTCCTGAAAGATATCCAAGACCATTCCCCAAGAATGGGATGGTTCATTCTGTCAAAGAAAGAAAAAAAGAAAGAAAATGACACCAGGGCTCCTTACAGCTCTGAAATGAAGGATCTGATGTTGATGCAAGTCTTTGTGTAAGTCCTCCTGACCTTCAAGTAAAGATCAAGATGAGCTTCTTTCTTCCTTCCTCCACTTTGTCACATTTCACTTCCTACCAAATTCCAAAGAAATGTCTCTCCAGAGCTCCCCTCCCGAAAGTACACTGTCTGGTTTCCTTTGCTCTGTCCTCTCTTAAGAGTTCCGCTCAAAGAGCTTCAGAGCTGTAGCTTTGCCTTTATGATCCCTGAATTGAGTGATGCTTAAGGGGCTTTAGTTCACCCTTTCCTGTCCTTCCTCTGAGAGAACCCAGGGGCTCGGTAGATGCCCTCTCTCAGGGCCCACCAAGCTGACTGTATTTCCTAAGTCACAGTGGGCCATATAATCAGACTAATACAAGCATACTTTTAGAGAAAATGGGAATGGATATTTAAAGATTTCTCATTTATTTGAGAGAGAGAGCGAGAGCACGTGTGTGCACATGGCACAAGCCGGGGGAGGGGCAGAGGGGGAGAGAGAGGGACAAGTAGACTCCCCGCTGAGCCCCATACGGGGCTCAATCCCATGACCCTGAGATCATGACCTGAGCTGAAACCAAGAGTCAGACGTTTAACCTACTGAGCCACCAGGTGCCCCGGGAATGGATATTTAAAATTGAGATTGTCCCGTGTCCCTTGGACATATACTTACCATATCTATGTGTATTTTGTGTTCCTTTATTCTGTAGTTAGGACTTACCTCCAAATGACAGATAGCAAAGGAAAGAGGCTTGGAGATCCCCATTCCTGAGGAGATATGTTCTTAAATTACATTATTCTTCACAACACCTCCCCTTGAAAAAGAGAGAATGGTTAATGTTGAAGTGTCTCAGGGGTGTGTTACCTCGGTCTTTAGGATTCCATTTCTCCCAGTTGTTGGACATAGCATTCAATAAATATTTGTTGAATACTGAATGGAGCGCCTGGGTGGCTCAGTCGTTAAGCGTCTGCCTTCGGCTCAGGTCATGATCCCAGGGTCCTGGGATCGAGCCCCGCATCAGGCTCCCTGCCCAGTGGGAAGCCTACTTCTCTCTCTCCCACTCCCCCGCTTGTGTTCCCTCTCTCACTGTCTCTCTCTCTGTCAAATAAATAAATAAAGTCTTAAAAAGAACTGAATGCATGAAATGAAGCTGAATTTATTTTAATTATAGCACTCACACATGTCCTTTTGACTAAAATTATTGTTAAAGCCTAATTTTTATAAAGCGTTGCCTTTTAAAAGCTGTTCTTCTGCTTGTTTTTCAAAATACTTCCCTTCTCCAAACTTCTTGATTAACCAAGCATTGCTTTGTCAGATATTTAAAAGGTTAGACACCCATTTTCCAAATCCTGGGCCGTGTATGTCTCGCCCATTGGCATTCTCTTGGTTGTTGGTTAATACTACAAATATAAAGTGAAAGCTCTGAGCAAAAGCTAAATCTGACTCTGAATTTTCTCGAAAGCATCTCATAAGCTTGGGTGACTAGTGACTTAGACAGTCTTGAACGTTTCACTTCTGCATAATGTCTCGTCCTCACTCCGCAGATAATTCAGATTCACTGTCATTTAATGGAGACCAGTTGGATATTGAGAATTTGATCTACTGTGTGTCCTCAGCATTGCAAGCTCAGAGTTGGCTTTTTTTCTTGCACAGATTCAAAAGCCTGCAGTCTCCTGACTGAAATTAGTAGTGTCAGATTCCAACGTATTTTTCTCTGCACTGTCTAAATGAAGTAAGACTTGCCCTGAAATTCTAGGTGTGACCCTAGCAATGAAAAGGTAGCCTTTGTGAGAGACCAAAACTCATTGTCATCCTGCTGCCTGCATAGCAAATTGATTAGATTGTTCTCGAGTCTAAAAGGAGCATAAATACTAACCGGATTCACTGGGAAGTCTGAAGTGAATTAAAGTTTTCAGCAGACGTTACATGACAGCAGGGAACTGTGGGGATTCCTAGTACCTACTTGGTACCTTTCATAGGTCTTGTTGAGTGACCGGACACAGTGTAGTCTAAATTTGAGTTTTCCTTGCTCCTTTTCATTCCTCCACTGATTATGCCAGATTGTAAATGTTATACTCCCAGAAATTCTAGATGGATTACTTACGCCACAGAGCTGAACTCAATGGAAATCATGATCCTGTTGCTTTACTTGTAAATGATGGGCCCTGGGGCTGCCGGTTCTCTGCACAGTGTCCACGGTCTTTGCTCGTGCTCCTTAGGCCTTTGTGCGAGTCTGCAGTGCTGGTGAGACTATAACCAAGACGAAGGGACGCTGAAGGGGGTCAGGAGTGGGTCTTCCAAGCAGCGGGGGGAGCAGAAAGTGTCAGGGGGAGGAACGGCAGGGAACGTGGGGGAAACTGCAAACAGCTGTGTTACT